CAAAGGCCTGCATATCAGGAGAATTGTAAGGGTTTTCAGTTTGACTCAGCAGTGTAAGCTCTCACTGAGATATTTTTGCACATATAGAATTCTTCAGGAATACAGCATGCTACATCCCCTGCAGTAATAAATATTGATCCATGGTTCCTCTGACATAGGATCACTACATTTTTGAGACATATGTGCTCATGCTATAATATGTCCACATTGATTTCAGTGTAGGCCAGAATTGGTTCAGTAAAACTGATCTGCATAATTGCAGCAGGCATGTCAGGGATACATAGTGTGAGGATATTCCAGCCAATGGTACTTTCCCAATATTTGCCTGGACAGGGAGGAGGACTCAGCAATAAGAACATTGGCATAGATTATTCCATTGATATCTGTGCAATAACTGGTTTAAACAATAGTCATATCTTGGAGGAAGGAGAGGCTCAGACAATACTCTGGATTTTCAGAATATCAATATTCTACATGAGGATTGCTCCTTGCAAGTAGACAATATTCCTTTTCTTCTATTCTGTGTCTGTTGGTGGAGTAGTGCGGGGAGAACGTTGTTACCTCTGACTTCATTTATTAAACTGACTTTATGGGAAACAAAGTGTGCTGAGGTTTCTTTGTTTGAGACTTCCCGACCAGAGCATATGAGATGATAATTTCATAATTATTCATTCAAGCCCCACAGAATCTTTTACTTTTTTCGTGCTTAGCTGTAGTGGGCTTAGTCATGTTGGCACAGTTACCATTGCAATGGGCTCCATCACAAATTCTGAGTGAAATCCCAGTCCTACTGAAGTTAGTAGGTTCAGATTTTTATCCCAAGTTACTGCTTGAAACTTGCCATTACTTTATTGTCTAGTTTTAATTTTGATTGAGGTCTTATACTGCTAAAGTAAATGGAAAAGAAGATTTGTTTGGGGGGGGGGGGTTAATATTAATAATGGACTTTGTATGGAAGAACCACCATTGTTTAAGGTTCTGCCAAGCAAATTCTCAAATGATATGTATGTACATATATATAAAAATGATCATTAAAAGGAACTAAATTCAACACTGGATTCCTTGATTTTGGAGTAGTCCTTGGTATTGCTGTTGTTGCAGTTCATTTGTGGTACTGGAAAACCAGAACATGCTGGATATTATGAAAAATATTAGCCAAAGATTTTTTTGCAGTTCAAGAAGGCAAACACAGTAAGCATCTCCCTTCCTTCACAATTATCTCTGAGTATGAGATGTGTCTTGAAACGAATACTTTAGAGAAACATTACAGCGAAATCAAAGAATCTTGCATTAGAGGGTTATGTCTTCCTAATCCCCAGAATTTACATGTATTTTATATAATGGAGCATGAAGATTTATTGCTCTTACAGTATTTTATTCCAGCTCATGAAATGTGGAGTTTCTCATTATTCTTGTTAACACCTGCTCTTTCCTGAATTTCCAAAAGTGGTACGGTTTCTTCTTTATCTATTAAAAAAATCTGTGTATTTTCCACTAGTAGTACTGAGCTGTAGTAATTTGTCCCAAGAGTACTCTCCTAATTTTCTGGTAGTTTGGTTTAATTGTTCTTCCATATTGGAATATACTGTGTATATATATCTGGAGATGAATGCTTTGTTAACACTGTGTATATATTGGAAAGAAAGCTAATCTAAATGTATACTTTATTCAGAGGCAATACCAAAGAGACCACTGTACAACAATTTTAGAGGGGAAAAGACAAAAAAAACCTTTTTGACACAGATGTTTCAATAAATATGAAGTGTGGCACAGTAGTTAATGATGGATTTCTAATCTTCCCCTCTGTTTAAAACATGTAGTAGGAGGTATCTTCTCTTAGAGAGCTTGGAAGTGCTTCTCATTGTTCTGGATGCTTAATTCAGTAACTTCTCAATCTTTTGTTCCCAAGGGCTAAGACAGTGAGATTGAAGTAAAGGCCTTATTCTGAGATGCACCAAATCATTGATTTCAGAGCAGTTGGCAGACACTCAGTTACTCTCAGAAATGTGGACAGAGTGCTTCTGAAGTTCTGATTGGGTTTGGGTTTTTTCCCTTACCAGTTGTAAAACTTACATTGTTGAGCTTTATTGTTGTAATAATAAGCTACTGTAACTAACAGGACTGCAAGGCTGTGACTCAAGTGACAGCTCCGTTGAGAAGCAGTGGTGTTTGTACAGGGGAAAAGGGATTCTAGACAAGATAGTAGAGGTCAATTAATTTCATCTTCCTTAAGAGAAACTGGAGATGACCTACATTTCTTTTTCTTTACTATGCTACTTGAGAGCTGTTTCTGATCTGTAAAATTTTATGTGTCTTCTTTTACTCTGATTTTGGAGAATTGACTTTATTTAGTCTTTGAAGGAGTGAGGAGTGTAAATTAGGAATACTTTGCTGAGCCAATACTTTGGAGCATTGATTGTGTGGAAGAAACTTTGCAAGGCAATGTTAGCATGCTGTCCCGGTGTTTCTTCTAGTGAAAATGCGTGCTTTGCCTCAGGGACCTTTGAGCAGGCATCTGTTCATACAAATGCAGCAGAATTTGAATTTGTACCATGACTTCTCGCACACTGAAACCCATAAGGCTTCACAGAATCAAATTATGTAGTAACAAGATTGCAGTAAGTATGTAAATGATGGAAGAGAGGCATATAAAAATAAAATATAAAATAAAAAGAAGCAGCAAGTAATTCCACGAGCAAGGGAACTTACAAATACTGGCTTCCAAGAATATATGGGTTGTGGTGTGATTCTCAGATGTATTACAAGTTGCATGCTCTCATCAAGGCTTTTTTGTTTGCCAGGGAAAAGGGATGTCATTGGTGTTCAGTGGCCTCTGGCCGGGAGTGGCCATCTTCCTGCTGAAATTCCGCACATCGCAGTATGCCTTCCAGACTCAAGGTGCCACCACCGCCAACTCGGACTGTTTTGACAGTGCCCAGAGCCTCCTGCCAATTGACATCAGGAACCTGGGCTGGTGAGTTTTGTTTCCCAGGGAAAAGGGCTGGCATTGGTGTTCAGGAGCCCACATCTATAATGTTTATGACATCTTTCTATCAAGTGAATTTATTGTTGTGCAAAAACTATATTTCAGAAATTTTCTGCGTAAAGCATGAGTAGAATTTTGTTCTTCCTGCCATCCTGCAGTTCTGTTAAATTCTCTATAGCTTCATTAGAATGATAACCCTGTTCTGTAAAATATATTGAAATTGGACAGGGGGTTGATAGTTGGTTTGGAAGGATGGAGGGACAGACAGGTAAACACCTGAAACTGACTGTATTAAAATCAAAAAGAATCATGTTCAGATTTAAGGGTAGCATAAGTATCTTTTCTTAGAACCAAGCTTATGGTTTTGTCAGGTGAGATTCATTATGTACTTTTTTTAATGCACAGGAGCTGGCTAGATCAGTTCAGAAGCACAGAGTTTCATATGTAAATAAATAAATACAGACAGATATGAGTAAAAACCCATGTATGTTGTTTCCTTGAAGTAAATAAGTATAAAATATACCAAAGAGGAAATGTTTAGTGAGGGAGTTTGAAAAAAATGCATATTGAAAACAAAGAGAACAGCTATATTCTAAAACTAAGTTAAGAAGTGAGACTGTCAATGAAATTTTACACTGAGTGGTCTGACAAAAGTTGGGAATTCTGAGGTTTATAAAAAAAATAGATGAATGTGACAGTTAAATGGATTTTGATTATGATGAACAGACAAAAAGTTTATGAAGTTAATCTGAAGCTTGTGGAATAGACCCTGTTTTGTCTGCAGACAAAAGCTAGGCTTAGTTCAATTGAGATTGATGCAAACAGCAGGATCAAAAATGTCTAGAAAATAAGAAGAGAATGGAAGGATACTTGTGGAAAGTTGTACTGATGTAAAAGAAAAAGCAGCTTCTGTGTGACACCAGAATTGTTGAATACTTTTGTTGGTTCTTTCTGAAAATCAGCTTTTTCAGAATTGAGGGTAGATACTGTAGCAGGAGGAATATTTACCATTCTCAGTGTGAAGAAGAAGAGAGAATTAAAAAAGTACCTTGGGAACTTTTTCAGAAGCATTCCCTCCACCTTCATTGCAGCTGCCACATCAAAACACCCTTTGTTCTTACAACTGGTTTGTGAGTGGGAGCAGCAGCCACCAGTAAAAATACAAAAAAGCAAACATGGCAAAAAAGAGTATGAGATCTCCCAGGACCTCACTTGTCACTGTTATTTAAACTCTCTCTGTCCTTCCACAGGCTGGAGAACTGGAATGAGGGTCACCAGTTAGCTTTTGCAGGCTCTGATCCTGAAGTAAGCTCACTAAAATAATTCTGAAGGGTTTTTAAAAGTACCTCTCACTTCTGTTAGATAATTTACCCTCTTCTTTTCATTAGTTAAAAAGTTTTGTATTTTTTAATGCTGCTGCTAAGGTCAGTCAGCATTATGAGGAGTAGGAAGATAGTTTTTCCATCTAGACTGAGGTGGTTTAAAGGATGCTTTGTGTGTCATGTATCTCTGCCACATAACAGAGCCAGCTCTTGGGTTGAAGGCAATAGATGTTGGAAATGTCTGTCCTGGAAGGAAAAAATTTAAATTTTCATGACTCATGGTTTGCATCAGTGCTTGTAAAAGCATAGAAGTGACTCATTTCACAGTCTGAAACTTTTGTTGGTAGATTGGGATTTTTTGGTAGAAGTTAAGAACCCTAAACTGACCTAGATTGTCTTGATTGCTTACTGTCTTTTGTAGGCAGGTAGAAGCATTGTCTCTTGGCAATCACATTACTGGTTTGCAAGTGTATAAAATTTTTTTGTTCATCTAGCCATCAGCTAAAATGGCAGAAAAGGGGAATGCACACAAAGCTTTCTCCTGCCTTGAAATAAAGGAGGAGCAATTTACAGCTTAAATCCATTCCTCATGTTTTTTCTGTTTACCTTTATAATCTCCTCAATACATTCAGTCAAAGCAGCAGGGAAGATTTCAGGATGTAGAGACTCAGTAACTCAATTTTCTCAAAGTGGAGCATTGTCACTAATTTACTATGATTTCTGATACAGTTTGAGGATGAAATGTTCTGAGTAAAATTCAGCCAAGTCTCATTCCATACCATGCTCTTAGGCTCTACCTCAGAGCACTGTCAGAAGAGTGTATTTAGGTTTATAACATATGAACATAGATTTATATGTATTTATACAAGCATATATGTCACAGAGACAAAAGCACACAAAAAATACACAAACCAACCAATTTAAAGGACCTTTTTTAAAATATACTTCAGAAGATTTGTGTGAATGTAAACATTGGGGAAACTTGTGCAGCAGAAGTCACTGTAGGCACTAGCATTTTGACCTCTTAAAGAAAACTATGCAGGATTCTATCTTTCACTGGAAAGGAAACGGATGTTTAAAAATTTGTGGAATTTTGATTACTGCTTCTTAGCCTAGCACAAGAGATGCTATAAATTGCCTTAAAGATTTGTGCATGAGACATATTATATATGAAACCACACTATTGAGTTCCACCATTTAATGAAAGGCTACCTATTAAAAATGTTTATAGGCAAACTGGAATCTCTTGCCATGTAGCCTTAATGGATGGAAATAATAAGGAAACCATCAGTTTACATATATGCAAGCAATAGCTTCTATATATTGTTAATAGTATTTGTATGGTTAACAATGCTGATAACCTATTAAACCCCATTAAAATCTTTGAGTATCTTGTAAGACAGAGAGCTCTGTAAGAAATAAGGCACAAAATATCCTTCTGCACATCCAATTCTTATGGACTTCTACATTTCTACATTCACTCTGACTATAACCTCATGTTCACAATGTGAAAACAGAGTGCATAGCTGCTCTGATAGTAACCATATTCTCAGAATGCTGTGGACAGCTTTAATAATGTTTCACTATGTTCCACTGACCCTCATTTCAACTTAGACTTAATGCAGCTATAGTATAAATAATTAAAAGATTCATATAGTTTAAGAATTAACGTCAGGTTAATAAAAACACATTTTAAGGTGCCCATCTGTGAGCATCTTCCATTCTTTTTGCTGATGCAGATTATGTTTATTTTTTACAGAGCATTAGAATAAATAACACAGTATAGTACTGTATTATTAATACCTCTTTTTTTTGGTATTAATCTGTGCTTAAGTGCCAAAATGTTGATGCTGTTTAAATGGTCTCTTCCTCTATTTGAATACTGAAGTGCTACAAATGTGAACTGCCCAGCTAATGTCCCGATCCATTGTAACAGGTAAAATTCTGGTGTGGACCAAAACATTTTCTAACATAAACCTGAAAAACAGCAACAACAACAACATGCAAAACAAACTGTTGCGTGGACTTTATCCACCACAGAAATAGAACTTAAAAGACAAATGGGCAGAGAGAAAATATAGTCACAGATAGATTCCATTTCGATATCTTCTCAAGAGTTCCAGAGTGATTAATTTGAGGTGACAGTCAGGTAAAAATATTTCAATGTACCAGTCACAGACACCAGACAGCTCCTGCCTGCTTCAGAACAGCAAAACCACCTGTATAGTTCAAGCCAGTTTTTTGTGTCATAATCACGTCAATATCCTTTTCAGAGGCAGAATTACCATCCAGTGGATCTCAGTTCACAGGACATCACAGTTACACTCACTCCATCTACTCAGTCACCTCTAGAATTAGGTACAATGGCGCATGTCTGAATTCATTACAGAGCAGTCACTGGGCTTCCTGTTGTAATAGCTTTGTAGTGACTTTTAATTTTCTGTTTCATTCTGAAATGGTGTGAATGTCCTTAATTTTCAGTTTATGCTGTCTTTATGGCTGCTTCGGTCTGTATTGTGATTGTTTAGTTCTTGGTTTTTCCATTGGATGCTTGTTCCATTCATGGGCACTGAAGTCACCAAACTCTTAGACTGGGAGCAGCAACAGCAAAGACATGACTGAAAATAAATAATAAATAAATAAATAAATAAATAAATAAATGTTAAGACAAATCTCAGTTCTATGCAGATTGCCAGCCATATTTTTCACTCAGAAATGACAGATAACAGATTCTAGCTGAAGGGAGTGCTAGCTATATTCAGGGCAATTTTTATCTTAGAACATAAATGATTGTTGTGATTGAGCATCACAAGTGCAGAAAATTAGGCCCAGTCTGTGGCTCTTATTTGCAAAAAACTTCCACAGTATGAAAAGGAAAATTTGTTTCACTAAGGTAAATAGACTGAGAACTTAGAGAATTCAACACATATTGTTAGGTGCTGGGTTGTTTGCTTTCCCCCCCACCCCTTTATCATTGTACTTGACAAAGTTAGGGATCAGCATGCTGCTTAGCATGGAAGAGAAAAGAAGAAAAATTTCTCAGCCCGTGACTTAGGTCTCTTCTCACATCTTAGAAAAAGACAAAATTATTTTGGAAAAGGTTCACTGAACGTAATGAGGTGTAACATCTTGCACACTTAGGAATAGAAGCTGATTTCTTACTTATCATGAGAAATTTCTCCCTTAAAATAGTTTGTAAATCTGAGCAGGCTACAGACAAACAGTTATTCCCTAAGTATAATAATTCTTCACATTTTTCTCAGTAGTTTGGATTCTGCCTATTCTTAGACTTAAAGTTTAGTGGTACAGTCCTGTCATCCTTTGTTTTTCATTGCAGATATTTCAGTCTTCCATTTCATTACTTTCTTTACTCTCTTTTTTTTTTTTTTTTGCTTCCTGTTGTTGCCTTTAATAGGTGGACAGGGACTGCAGAGGCACATTGTCACAAGGAAATTATTTTAGCCTTAAAATATGCTTGCATGTGTAGGAACTGGAAAATGCAGGTAGAAGACGTAATTAATATTTGATTGCCAAAGTCAAGTCAGGTGCCTGATTTGGTATTCAAGCCTGAAAATTTTAGTCATTAATGAGATTGTTTAATATGGGCAACTTGGTGTCATTGAGAGTGGAAAATTGTTATCAAGCAAATTCTATTTCGTGTGCATGTCACGTGCAGATAAATAGTATTTACAAGAGCATTTCTATCTCAGTTTACACATATGAGGACTATGTCAAACTTATTTATTGGTTTAGTATTTCAGATGAAGTGGATATTTTCACTTTCATCTTGGTACATGTGCTATGTGAACTAAACTGCTAGCTGCTAAACCAGACAATTTATATTCTTTCATTCCTTTGCATGCCTCTTCTCCCAGCCGTTAAAAATCAATAACAGCCAAGTGGTCCAATACAGTTATTTAACTGGACATAAATTCTTATCAAGAGAAGCTTACCTGGAAACAGTTTTTAAACTTCTTGCTCACAAAATACAGAGCTATGGGGTTTATACAAGAGTTCATAGTTGCCAGGTTGATGCTGATGTAATCCAAGGGCAGCAAGAAACTAGGCAAAAGGAAGACAGACATTTAAACAGTTCATATGCTACAGAAGCATCTGTTTTCCTTGTGGTTACAGCCTCTTCTGTCACACAAACTCATTCTCTCTTACCTAACTCCCTCAATCTAATCTTCTACCATGCCATGTCTATAATGACCTGTCTCACAGATGTTCAAAAAACCCAAACGGATTGAAATAATGACAAACAACATTTGTTGAGATTATGCTATCCCTTTAAAACTGAAACCGCTGAAAATGAGTGCAGCTTAAAATTAATGAACATCACAGTTGCATTGCACAGTGACATTCCTCATAGAAATTTTAAGCATACAGCATTATATTTTTCAGTACAAACTATTGGCGTAGAAAATTAAGTACCTGAGCAGTTCACATCTGCTGGGGTCTTTTTCATTGTATACCATTTTCTTCAAAATCCGGCTCAGATGGAGAGGGAACCAGCAAAGAGCAAAAATCACGACTAAACAGAAAACTGTCTTGGCAACTTCTCGGCGCTAGATAAAGGAGATAAGAATGCCCAATTCTGAGTGCCCAATTCATACTAGCAGGTGATTGTAGTTAGTAATGCTGGCAACAAAGTCAGTAATATAGATAAATTATAAAAGGATTCCCAAAGTGAAGCTTTCTGACTACCTGATGTACTACTCTTTTTTTATGGGGTTTGTCATGTTCTTGATCCTGGCCATCCTCAACAGAACCTGCTCATCACTGAGGCTGGAGTAGATGGGCACACAGGTATTGGTACTGCTAGAATATTGTAGGATTCTCTCTGATATAGTTTTCTATAAAGGGATACTGCCCAGTATATTGATTTTGCTATGTGATCCTTACTATGAGATCTTGATGTTCTCAGGTAAATAGTTCCTCTACAAACATTTCAGAAATGTTGGTATTACAGCTTAATCTTGTAATACTTAGGAAATAATTGCAATTTAATGGGTTTTTTAATGTGGCTCTAGAGAGTTACAGATGTTTTAGTGAAGTTTTGACAGGGCATACCAGCAGTGTTTGGTAAGCATGGGTTTGATAAAGAGAAGCATAAGAAGGGGTAAGGATTCCACAGTAATATAACAGTGACAAGCACTGCTAGGCTCTGCCATGAAAGAACTTGAAGTGAAATAATGATTACAGTCTTGTTAGGCTTTGAATATAACTGTTATAGTTTCCTCTTTTTTATAATAGCATCTTTTATCAAAATATTAAAATATTTGTGACTAGACATTAATGTGGACAAGTATATGGAAGGAAGGAAGGAAGGAAGGCAAAAGTTGAGGGTTTAAAAGATATAAATTTTTAAATTGTGGCACAAAGTTATCCTGCAGCAGCTAGTCTGAGAAGCTTAGTGGGCACTGCAATTTAGGACAGTGGATTCCCCCACCTCCTAGTACATACCATTCTAGTTCTACTGGGTGGAGTAGCCTGTGTGTGGCCCTAGGACACTGTGTTACAGTTCTAGGGCCTGATGAAGGAAAAAGTGGAGAATCTGTACAAGGGGAGGATTTTCCAGTCAGTCCTGATCTGGAATGAACCAGCAGAGGAGGAACCTCTGTGAGAACTCACTGTGATGCAGAGAGGACTGCTTTAGGGGTTCACATCTGTGAACATGGAAGTCAAAAGAGTGGAATTTGAAGGGCTGATATTAGTGCAGGGGAAAAGCTCCAGACTCTTTTTTAAAGTTCAGTTAAGTGTTAAACGTCAGCCAGCGCTGAGAGAGCAAAGAGACCTGGCGGTTCCATGAGCAACTTTGTTCTGTGATCATTTGTTTACTCTGTTTCCTGTTGCTCTTTTCAAAGCAGCTACAGCAGTGGTGCTGCAACAGTGCAATAACCCTGAGAAGCAAAATCCACTCTTTTCTAAACTAGGTTATTCTCCATTTTCTTTTTATATGAAACTACAGTTACATATCAAAGAGTGCCAAAAGGAGGGAGGATCCATGCAGTCATATCTTTATACAGAAAAAGAAACATTTTTGGCAAATCTTTGTAGTTAAATTTCAAAGCATTTAGCCAGTAGTGATTTGAGGTTAAAGAGAAGGCGGGCACAACTGTCAGCATAAGAAAAGAAGGAGAAGGGTTGGCTTCCTGAGTGTACTGTCTTCAATGCCTCCTTATACAATGATTTAGTCTTTTGTTCCAGGTTTAAATGAATGTCTTAACATTATAAATAACTCACATGCTCACTTTCTACTTCTGTAGTTTACTGTATTCAGGTACACTTTGAAATATTTCTAATGTAACCCATAGAGAGAACAGCAATATTTTCAAGCATTGCTGTTTCTAATATATTTACCTGTTTGAGGTGTTCGCTGAGAGCAATTCTCAAGTTGCTGTTTCTTCTGTTTAACATTTCACAAGTCATTAGCGTATAAAAGATGGCAGTACATGCCAGCGGCATGCAGAAATAGAAACCAAACAGCCACCAATCCTTTGCATCTTTGTAAAACTGTAGGTAAGGAAAAGAAGAAAGCAGATATTTTCTTATGATTGAATGCAAAATACCACAGAAAGGCCTTGGAAAAGCATGACAGCTGGTACACTGGTATCTGTCTGTTTGCTTATTGTCGATCTCTTTTTGACCAACATCAAAATAGGAATTGTCGCAGTGTAAACATTTACAGGTAGACTGCCTGTACCTTTGTTGCAATCTATCTCAGGTAGGAATTAATTTTTTTTGGTTGTACTTTCTGAACATTTATATTCATTCATGAAAACTAGAATGCAGTTGCATGAAAAAGACCTGCCAAAATGTAGACAGTGTCAGTCTGAGATAATGAATCTTACTAAAAGCCTGTCTCAGGAAATGCCATTTACCTCTAAAGCTTCTGTCCTGATGCCAAAAAAGGAAAATTCAAAATGTCTTGTGAGTTTAATCACCTTTTGTTATCAGTGAAAAGGTTGGCAGTTGGTTTGCTTATGTACTGGGCAGATAGGAGCCACTTCATAAGTGTTTGTCTGATATGTGCAAAGCTTAGGGATGGCTTCCAGTGGTACAGTTACTTTTAACCCCTTGACTGCCATTTCCACCATTTGCCTTTTGTGACAGGACTGTGAGGTATAGATAGAATAGCAATACTTTGCTCTGTGTAATTTTAAGTATTAGTTGTGATGTAAGCAGTGCTGTGAGTTAATACATCTATGTATTGTGGGAAATACTACATTTGAGAAAACATTTAAAATAGCTCTTTCCTGTAGAGAATCGTGTTTTCAGACTTCAGAAAATACTGTATCTTGGTTTTTAACTTTTATGCTCAGCCAAAAGTATGTGCTGAAATATAGCATTTCAAACATTTCCTGTGTCTAGGTTATTAGTATAAAAGGGATGTGTCACTCTTTCCCCCAGCTTGTTTGTTCCTAGAGGATGTGCTCTTGTAACATCACAGTTCCCACACCAAATGTCAAAATTCTTATGCCTGAGGATTTTTTGGATCCTATTTCAAAAACTCAAACTTTTGACATCATGTTTACATTTAAAACCAAATAGCACTATACTTTGAAAGATGAGAAAAAGTTGATACAATTCATATACTGGTGTTTAATAATGTTACTTTAAAAATCTACTTCAGTTACATCAGGAAGTTGATTTGCTAAGAAAAAGGGAATGCTTTTGATTTTTTTCCCTCTGCCCCAACACAGCTGCATACAGAATTTGCTAGTTTAGATTATGCTGCTGGTTTCTAGGCCACAATCCGACCTCAGTGTGGGACACTGTGCTGTGTTGATTAACTTGTTTCCTCCTCCTCATTAGCCTCCTCCCCGAGAAGGGGCTGCAGTCTCCTGCATAGCTGCACTTTCCTTGGGGGCAGAATTTCCTCCTCTGGGAGCAAAGCTTTTGCCAGCAGAAAACCGGAAAACAATATCCCTCGTATTTGAGGAGCTTGTACTGAGGGCAAATGTAATTACAGCTCCTTCTGCAGAGCAAAGAATTACAAATACATGGAGACAATTATCTTTTCCATCGCAAATTCCTCCAAGTCAGCCTGGAATCACATTGGCTGGGCAGCACAACAATATATGTACTACGTGAATCTATTCCATGTTTACAAGGAAAACTTTGTGTCCTACCAGTGTTCCAGTCTCCATGAGCATTGCCTGTTGGTCAAGAAAACACACGAAAAGTCTGTGTCACAGCCCTGAGCAATACATCACTTCTGGATGAGGAGTTGGCCTCGTGGAGCTATAAAAACTACTCTAAAATGTCTGTAAATGATTAATAGAGGAATCTGAGTTTCACAAAGCTTACATCAATGCACAAAAATTGGTTGATTGAAGAGAAGTAGACATTCTTTTGTTTGTCTTGAAAGCCCACATGGAACTGGTTTTCTACAGGAAATGTGCATTTTAAACAAGTTTCCTAGTGCGCTCTGCCTCTTGGGAATCATGGTCTAGCATGAATATTTTAAATCTTTCAAAGATAGCTTTAAACATGAATAAAGCTCCTATTAAAAACAGAAGTTAATAATAAATCCTTCCTGAAGTTTAGTAATTGTTTATTGTGGTGTTTGTGGTAGTAAATACTATAGTTAAGGTTAAAATGGTATTTCCATTTTAATCTCATGTTTGTACTTGCTTGCAACACATTGAAACACAAAGCTCTCCATTTTGACTGACACATCCAACATTTACTCTCAGCTTGGACATAACTGCTGGTTTGTTTCCCTAAAAACTAAACTGCTATGGGAAGATTGGCACTTCTAAATTATACTGAGCAAGTAAGAGATACTACTTCCTGCTAGGAAAACAAACCAAGCTATTCTACTTAGATAGAACATTAAGAACAGAATAGTAATCATTAAAGCTAGCATGCCTATGGAAGACGTGGACTACAATGTTTTTGAGAAAAGGGAAACTATTCTTTTTCTTAGGGAAAAAGGACATGAAGGTTGTCCAGGTACATTTGAGGAGAAAAACAGCCATTAGAGAAGGGAAATTTTGCTGCAGTGTGTAATTCATAAATCACAGTCTTATGACTACAATATCTACAGTCATATGGGCTGTGGAGCCAAGAAACAAAAATATAATAAACTCTGGGAAATTCCACTCCATCTTTACCTGCATTAATTTTTTCCATTAGGGAATTCCTTTTGTCTTCTCTTTCAATTGTCTCATGCTCTTTTGGCCATCTCTATAGTCTTTGTAACCCTAACACAGTTGGGGGCATTCCTCTGAAAAAGTAATCATTCACACTTTTTATTTTCTAAAATTCCTAGCTCTACTTTACCTTATCCTTTCCAATTCTAAGCCAAGTTATGTTCTGGTCCAATAAAAGGAGAAGAACCAGCCATTCAAAAAAGAGAAACTTATACTCTATTATGAAAAATTCTAGTCCAGAAAAAAATACTGAGTTTTTCTCAAGACTGAAGACCTGGTGCTACCTGCCTTGTCTGCAACAGATCAGGATATTACTCTTTCTTTTTCATTACTGGATGAATGGTACCTGGCCTTTCACTGTATTCAGAATTTTAAAAAATTAAAGATATTTTCTCATTGTAAGGCCAGGTGTAAAACCACTATGCCCCTATGGAGTAATCTATTGATTCTGTCGTGACTTCTCACCTGAGCAGCTTTGCAGAAGTTGATTGGGTATTGACAGCTGTTAATCTGCAGGAGCTCAGAGGGTGAGGGGTAGGAAACATGCCAAAGCAGCCCGGTGTGTCTCAGGCACTCCTCTTGCTCTTGAGCTGCTGTATCTGATGGCAGCTAACACTGCACAAGCACCTAGCTGGAGGTGTGGGTCTGTCAGTTTTGTAGTCATGATTTCTTGTAAACTAAAGGATTATTTTTTTAGTTGACGTTAATGCATGTAGCATGGCCCCACCCTTTTCTTTCAGTGCCAAGAGAGCTGACTACTGCATACAGAAGGATGACTAATCATGGTAAAGCATGTGTTTTGACATTTACAAGCTCCAAGGTGTTGTACCTTGAAACTTAAAACTTTTCAAGGCTCTGGCTACCTTGATACATCTCTTAGTTGTACTTTTAGCAGGTATGAATTGCAAATGTCTGTAGTAAGAATCTTCAGTAGCAAAGAAATTAAAATGCAGAAAAGCCCCATTTCATCTCTCTGGCTGAAAGCAGGGACAAGTCACTGTGAACACAGGATCCTCTTTGCACACATTGGAATACATTTTGCAGTTTAATGTGTGAATAAACTCTATTATCATCCAGTATCTTAATTGTCTAACCCACGTGCTGTGGATTCAAAAAAAACAGAAAACAGGCTGTTACTTACCAACATGAAATCATTTGTAGGTTTGAGCATGCAGGTAACATAACTTGCATCCTTGTATTTGAAAGGTACCACGGCAAAGCCAATTGCTTCTGGGATGGCCAGTATGAAGGACAGAAGCCAAATGGAGAAAATTTCAATAGCAGTGATCATTGGGATTCCAATCCCCTGAACACGGCTCCAGGATGCCACGGCTCTGTACCTGAAAGAGACAGGTGTTAGTTTCCAGCCCACAGTTTCCTTCTGTTGAAAGTTCACAGTTCAGTGTCATACGGCAAGTAAATTCCTAAGGCTGACATCTGAGACTTTTATTACTTGTTTTTTCTGCATATTCCAGGGCCTCTGCCAGCTATCAACTTACCTAGGACATAACAGGGCACATCGAGGGGTGGAGATCCCAGAGCTGGCTGCTCCTGTTCTGCTTGGGTGTGGGATTGTGTGGAATTCTGCTGGGTGGACTGCACTAATGATTTCTAATTAAAGTAGGCAAGGTTTGTGAGGACAGACTGTATCTTTCACTAAATAACTGCCATAACAGAGGGAAGAAAGCTTCCAGGCATGCAGCCATTCTAACAGATACAAAGCATCCATCTCCTTCAGCTAACTCAGCTGTAGCAGCAGTGCTATCCAAAGTGAAGCTGTCAGCTTCCAGGCAATGAAACACCAGGAATATACTCTCGATGAAGTGAAAAGGCATTTGTTCTGTTTATACTGTTCAATGAACTGAGAGGATCTTTCTTTAGTTGTCTCTCAGTTTTCAATGAGCTTGTAGAAATTTATTGGCCTTAAGACCTCAATCTCTCTCTCAGCTCTGGTCAGAAGGTTGTAAAATTATTCAAAGACTGATAGGTATAGGATACAGAGTGCAATCCAGTCCATAAACTAAATTTTCAGTAGTAGATTTTACTGTTGTCCTACAATTACTGCAGTAAATTACTTGCTTAGCATTTCCAACAATTTTACAAAGACAGAATCAGTGGAAAGAACCAATATTATTTTTGATAACCTGAAATTAATTCTGGAGAGCTCTCTGTCATTAATGATGTTACAGCTTCTGAAGTGCTTATTTGCTTCCTTAAAATAATAGCACCTTCCTGTTTGGAATGACAGTGCTGCATGGGTATATCATGGCATCCACTGATGAAGTAGTCTTCTTTGGTTGAGGATAAAAAAAATCAAGAAAGGTTGTTTGTCTGCTTTAAAAATTATCATATTAAGAAGGGGAATACTGTATCTGGAATTTTTGAGATCACAGAATCACAGAATGAACTAGGTTGGAAAAGACATTTTGAGATCATCAAGTCCAACCAAGAAGGAAGGAATGAGGAGCTTCCGATGGGGAAAAACACTTTTTGAGGGCTACAGGACCTAGGCTACAGAGATCAGGAAAATTTGGTTATTGAAAGGCTTTCTAAGCCCTCCTTTAACCAATACAGTAACACTGGATTCACACACAAATCGTTTCTTCTGATTTCTTGTATCACACCCTCTTTTTAGTTTGGAAGTGTGCTTAATAACTAGATGGAAGACTTGGGAATTCCATCCTCTGTAGCCTCAGTGTTAGGGGAACGACAATGCCTGAATGCAAATCCAGGCTTAAGCCCCTCACAAAAGCTTCAGCAAGCATTGTTACCCAACATCACTGGAAGGTGTCAGGGCCTGCCATCACTCCTGCAGAAAAGAGACTGGAAAGCTTTGCCTTGATACCTGTGCAGTGTCGTGCACAGCACAGTCACAGGTGAACTACAGACAGGCTCTCAAAGCATCATTTCTACAGAAATTTGTGTAGAAATTCTTCAAGCATAAAAAAGCAAACTACAGCTTGGAGTTGCACATTAAAAATAAAAATATCATCTAAAGGCATCCTTATCTTCCAAAAATATGAAAAAAGGAAGGAGGTCTCTGAGATTTGAATTCTGAGACTATCTAAACAAATTGAACTATACTGGGAGAACTAAGAAAGAAATATCCAGTATCATATCTTCTCACAAATATTCATATTAAAATCCAAATTTCATTTTAAATACTTTGTCATCCTGTCATATTTCTTTTTGCCAAATATCAAATTCTGGCTTTCATCACCAAATGGAATATACATTGAAACTTCACCTTTCACACAAATGCTCAAGTATTTGTGAAGTTTAGAAATTTAACAATCAGTTCAAAGTTTACTTTCTACAGACTGGCAATTTTACAATCATTTCTGTCAGCTCCACAAGGTACTATCCCATCCTTGACTAACTGATGCTCTTAGCAAACAGGGGCTTGTACACTGTATATATTTTTCAAGTAGCAAATATAAAGCTTGTTTTGTGTTGCCTCTGTAAATATAAGAGTGACAAATAATGACTTGCAAACTGTGAATCCTGTTATTTGCTTTCTTGCATTTTTGTACCTGTTCTTTTGAGTTACATCTGTTTTGCACGTGAGGAGATCGCTATGCACAGCAGTAAGGATTTGGGTCCTGTATGTATTTTACAGAATTTTTTTTTTCAGTTTACAGTTCAAATAACTCTCAAATAAGGAATTGTTAGCTGAATAATTTTATTAATATTTTCAGCTAAAACATAAGAAGCTCATGAATTACATCAGAATTTGCTGAATGCATATTAAGCTGCAGTTATTCGGTCTCTTTACTCACTGCTGTAGGAGTGATTTGAAAAATAGTGGTAGTAATAATAATTTTAGTAGTAATAATTTTTCAGGTGGGTGTTCTGTGGGTTATGTAATATAGAGGATCTTTGTCTAGCCACAAACCTCCCACAATCAAGAGTGAGAAAGTACTGCAGGGTTTATTTCCCTCATACTTGGAAAACATAGGATGTCTGCCAGGGACCTGACATAAAATACATGCATAATGCATTGCATTTAATTCCTCACTCTAAAACCCTGTGTGAGATTTGTCAAACTTTCCTTTTCTTCTGTTTATTTCCCTCTTGTCTCCAATCTTGTCTAAAATGTTCACGCTTTTTTTCCAGGTCACTTCCTGTTCTCTGCTTGATGTTGTGCCTCCTCTTCTCTCTCCTTTTTCATTTTTAACTGCTCGTGCATGTGCTATCAACTTGTATACATACACACAGTTAAATATTTTGCACTCCTATCCAGTTATAACATGCTTAAAGCATTTCTTTCAGAAGGACATCTTGTCTGCATCTGAGAACATCAGTGGGTGCTTTTGTTCCCGTATTCCTTTTAACTTAGATTAGAAATTAGGTGTTAATTAGAAAACTAGGTGTTCAAATGGACCTGTAATATAACAAGTGTCTGTTCTGTGAGTATCATCAGCCCTTTGTAAGAGTGAAAAGCAATGCAGGAAACATAAGAAACAGGATCAAGCACGTATGAAGCAGTCACAGTCAAGATGAGTGCCAGGACAGTTCCTAAATGTCCCTGCTGTTGCTGATACCGAACAGTTCTGCTTCATTATTAGCAACCACAGCTGTTCTTCATTTTATGCTACTATCTTAATACAAAAAAGCTCTTAGAGTTTTATTTTAATGTCAAAATCTTGTCTCATACACTTACTGTGAGTTAGTCCAGATAAAAGTATTTGCTTTAGGATCACTGTTCTTTGCACTGTGCTATGCAGAGGAGGCAAGAAGAGAGTGTATACATGTGAAATGAGATTCATATCTTCACTTTTCTTCTTCAACCTATTTCTTCATCAAAATTATTATGCCCAAGACATAAGCAAGAGTAAAAACTCAGGGAAGGAAATAGCCTTCCTCTTAGTCACACTCATGCACTGTTTAGAAAAAGAGTCACACTGTCCTCACCATCGTGACCTAGAGTTTAAAAATGCCTGGGGGGCATCTGAGGCAACTTCGAAGTGAGCTTCCTCCGAAGGGTGAATGGCTGGCTTTCTGCCAGCCTCTTAAAACCCTCTCCACATGTGAGTGGCCATTGTTCCCCTTGGGCAAGCACAGTTAAACCTTAATACACTGTCAGGGCAAGTCACTTCGGGGCAGTACTAATGAGGGGAGTTTCACAATAGGATGTAGTTAGCACAGGGATTTTCCTGATAGGAAAAAAAAGAATCCTGTTCTAACTTACGGCTGTAGTCTGCAGTAGGGATAGAGAGTCAACAACGCCTAAAAATATGGAGCTCTGGATTCACTCTACCGATTGACTTCATCTTTTATGTGCCATAGAATGCAGTATATAGAGACCCAGAATAATTATAAACAAGATAACTTTCAGGAGCTTTTTAAAAGCAAGAATTAACTTGCCCATAGACCAGAAACAGTCCAGCTGTGACAGCACACTATTTCATATTTACTCATTTTCCATTCTAGAAAGCAACCATTAGCTGATGTGGAATTTTGTGTTAATGTGCCCAACTTCCAGTGTCCAACCTAACTTATTGAAGGTACTCTCTGCTTTCATGGTGATTGAAGCTAGATTCAGTTCTTGTTAGCCAATATCAGAATCTGGCTCTATACATCTGTTTCCTAACACACATCCTCTGCAACCACTTACTAGAGTAGCAACAGATGATAAAGAATATGTCCTTGGCAAAATGTCTAAGCTAAGGGAGGAACTTAAATAGTCTGAGTCTGATCCCACACCAGATTTTATACTCAAATGGAAACAGCATTTGGTTGTTGTGAGGATTAGCAAATCAGTCCTTGCAAAAAAAATAAATTAAAAAAAAAAAAATATATATATATCTACAAAAAGGTAGCTTCAGCTGAGTTAGTTCCAATTTATAAAAAAGTATATGACAGTGGAACTTCATCTACTGAAACTGCAGTTGTCAGAATTTATCTAACAAACTGTCTCATGTTTCATGTGCTTGATCTATGATTTATTCCTTACAGGGGTTCATGGGGTTTTGCTCAATGGTGGGCAGATATTGTTTGAGAAATAGAATTGTTAGTTCTGAAACTCAAACAATGGAAGTAGAACAGTTACGTCTATTACGTTTTTTAAATTTTTTAATTTTTTTAAAAAATTTATTTATGGCTTTGGCTAATGAGATACTGATGCAGTAAGGAACTGTATTTTAGGTATGGATAGTACCAAGTGATTTATCCACTGCAAACCTTATACATTAACTTTTTTTGTAAAGCCAAACCAAGATTAATTTTAAAGCTTTTTTGCATCCCTGTACTAATACACATACTGCATTTTATTTAACAGTATTTTCTGTGTTTAGAGGTAGTGATATTTTGGAGTTGAACACAATCAAGTAACTCAAGACATAAAACCAATTTTTACATAAGTCAGGTGTTCATCTGCCATTGCATTTTATGTATTAAGAAAAAATAGCAGAGGCATTAATTTTCAAACTACCTATGTCAAACTATCAAAACAGGTTTCCAACATATTTTTCTGTAGAGCTCTGTTAGTTTTGAAAGTTAGCAGAATAAACCCTTGTTTATTGACCATAGGCAGTGAGTTGGAAAACTAATTTTTAAGCCTAAAGATTATGAAGTTGTTCAAATACAAAAAACCCCATGAGTTCTTATGAAAGAAAGAAATCTGAACACTGAGTCAAACCCCAGTAAATTTTTGTCTGGTGAAAGGAAATTGAAATAATGCTTTACCAGACCTTTTAAATACCTTTAAAAAACATGTGAAGTTCATTATCCCAAGCACTTAATATTATACTTTGAACCACAAACTCAAAGGTGCTTGGCATTAGCTAGAATATAAAATACAAATATCTAAATTATATCTGTGCCTGCTAAGAAGACCATGCTTAGTGCTCCCAGATTTAGGAAATCTGCACATGCAAGAACAGTGGCAAAAGAGTAAAACATACTGTACCTGTCCACACTAAGGGCACACAGGTTAAGGACTGTGATTCCCACTGATGCCTTCTGGATAAAGGGAAGGAATTTGCAAAGAAACTGTCCAAATTCTGTATTTCCAAAAGGCCACTTCTGAGCGAGGAGCTAAAGAGAAGATACAAAATAATCAGAATATTTAAACAGTAACCTAGCAAGTATGCCACAATTGTAGTTATTTCCTGTCTTAGACACAGCCAATGTAACCTTGAATTCTCCTTAACTCAAGCATATCCTTAGTACTTAGTGTATCTGGGAACTAACTGCTACTGTGGAAGCCCAGAAGTTGAAAGTTTACATAAAATGTTGACCTCGTGGTGTTGCAATAGCAAATTGCACTGTTAATTTTTTTTATTATTGTGAACCTGCCAGCAGTACTGAGTAATGAAAATCCAGCTCAAGCCTGTCATAAATGGTTGTGATTGCCATGTCCCAGAACCAGGCAGTCAAAACATAACTCGGGGTCCATAATGAAATACCTCAGAGCCAAGTCCTGATGCTGCACGCAAGTAGATTCTTGTCATGGTAAATGTACCATTTTGTAACTCATGGAAGTATTCAGTGCCAGACTCTGAGGAGTGTGAAGAAAACACTGTGCATGCATAATTTGTTCCATATTGCATTTTAAAGGACAACCATGCAAACATGTGGGCTGTGCTTCAAGGCAACAGAAAGGCATCCATTGGAAAGATGTGAATGACTGGGGCTTAGAGCAGTATTTCCAAGGAGGACTTTACATAAGTATTAGTACAGTGATTCATGTGCATAGTTTTGAAGAATTAGCATATAAGTAGTAATATTTCTAGCTATAACTGTTAAAGCTTTGAACATGTCTTTGAACATGCCTTTGATAGCAAGTGTACACATAAAAGGCAGGACACAAAATTATTCAGGATAATCAAATCCACAACTGGCTGCAGAGTCACAGAAGATCACCCTTTACCTGTGCTGACATTAAAATGGCAGATTACATTCAATTAAATGTACTCAATGAAAAATTGAGTGCATACAAAGTACTGAGCCCAAATTTAGCTATTTTAACTCAGTCCTCATGAATAGTTCTATTGAAAAACAAAGTCAGTAAACCTCCTCACTCTTGTGCTACCATTTTGTTCATCTTCTTCTGTAAGTCTCTGCTGCTGAGGCTTTCTTAGTGGTAGGATGTTCATGCTTTGAGAGTTAGCTTTGCAACCACAAGGACTAGAAATATTTTTTAGTAGAAGCTTAGGTCCTGGAACACACTTATCTGGTAAAAGTGGGTGTATTCTGGCCGTAGAATTAGAAAACAAATTCTGATTGTAACTCAGGACTACAGTATTCAAAGTAAACATTTTATTTCTATTAAATTACTGTTTATCTGAAGTATGCTAATAATCACTACCTTTAGCAATACAAATGTTAACTGTGGGAAGTTCACATCTATCTTTTTCTTAGTTAAGATCGATGTTACCTCTTTTTTCATAGTATGAGTTTTCAGAGAACTTTGCTGTAGTGTATAGATGTTTATCACAAAATTCTACCTAAGTAGGAATTAATCTTCTCATAGTCCTGCAGTGGATTTTTTTGCACTCCTTCTGTTTTACAGTCATTCATCACAATGCTGAGTTACTTGTGATTTTGTCCCCCAAATGATATCTCAAAAGTGCTGGAAGCAGCTATGCACTCCACATCACCTGTGTCTCTCTAGAACTATATTAATGTAATTTGATTACTTGTATTTCAGGACAGATTTTAGCAACTCACAGCTTTCAGCCAGCTGGGTGGAAACTGTGGATCAAACCGTGCAAGCACCTTTGGTATGCTATCCCAGTTTAGGATAGTCACATTTGATTAAAGGAAATCCCCCTTTTCTCAGAAGATTAGGGATTGGATTGCTAGGATTGATGATTTAACTGTAGTCAGTACCTTCAGCAGCAAAGGTGATAAGTTTATATCTGCAAGCTCTTGAATAGTTCCTCTGATTCTGTCTGTATTTATAGACTGAATGAAATACATTGAAAGCTCCAGCAGATTGTTTTCCAGATATGTTTGCAATAGTGCAAAAAATGTTTGCAGAGCATATTCTGCATTTTGCCTAGAACTCTTATATGAGATTTTAGTTTTTATCACAAAATCTTGAAAAAAGAAAGGATGATCACCCATGATTACCCATAGTAATTCAACCATGTTGTAGTCACATGGAATTTCAGTTCCAAACTCTTGGCTAGGTTTGGGTAAAAACAGAGTAGTTTTCAGTGTAGGAAGGCTAAATTATAAATGGCACTGCCATGGAAAAGCAGCTCTAGCAGACTTCTGTCAATCCCCTGTGCCAACCAGAGCCCTCAGACCCATTTATCATTACAGATCACACTTTAAAAGGCAACTGAAAGGCACCTATTCATTTCAGTGCCCTGACTGTGGCTGTAGCTACACCAGCAGTAGAAACGAACAAGCACTTTGTAGTGACTGTGAAACTCTGCTACTACAAGGCAAATATTAGCTTCAAAAAGAAAAGTGTTGTACTTGAAAAAGGTTCACTAACTCATTACTCCTCACAGGGAAGCTTTACCGTGCTTCCAGCATGTATGCTTCAACCCCACACCCCAGGAAGCTCTCCTTTTTTGAGATTAAAAGTATTTTATTCCTTTTGTTTCTTACACTTTCCACTAATTAAAGTAATCTCAGTACCAAATCATTAGACATTCTTTTCAAGTGGATTTTAATCAAAATCCCTGGGACCAGAAATAAGGTTTTTTGATTTCAAGATTCACTTTGCAATCATTTCTGGGGGTGTACTCCATTATCACTCGGCATCAGCTATGCATTCATTACTTCCCCTTGGATCAGGTGCCAATTTTTTTCTTCTGTAGATATTTTTAGTCAGCAAATCTGATCCTGTCTTTAGTTTTACTAATTTTAGCATCAAAACAAGTCCATTTTGCTCTGTTCTTCCCTAGCATGGTATGGAAATTTCAGAAGAAAATAATACATTTATTTTGTATTTTAAAAAATGGAGCCAGGAATTTAATTTAATTAATCCTGATTTACTTAGGTGCAATACAAGAACTGGAACTACTGGCTTTGCCCTTTGAGTGCTTTTACATATTTTAATATTGAAACAAAATTATTATAAAATTCTAGAAAATTACATTTTCTCTCAAGGCTCTAGGATAGAAGAAATTGGACTGATTGCTCCTACTTATGTCCCAGTTCTCTATAAGTTGTGGAAGTGGATTGTTCTTTTGCAAACCCACTTACAAAATCTCTGAGGTTTCAAAATAAGTCATGTGGCAAAGGAAACACACTTTTCCCTTGTGCAGTTTGCAACTTAATAGTATTTCATACTGTGGTGCAATTCCTGAGAAAATAGTGTGGTCAATATGTATTTTTGTACTGAAATCAGGAATCAAGACTGCCCTTTAAAAACTCACAAAGTGACCAGACAGCCAGCCACAGCTTCCTTGAACATCCTCCCTTCTCTGCTGCTTTATATGGCCTCTCTGCCCTGAGCTGCAGCTGAAGACAAACAAGACATCAGCACTGAGAACATTCCTTTGCAGTGATTTTTAAATGTCACTCCGTTGATTTTATTCTGATGCTGCTGCTATTTTCTAACCCCCCTCAACATGGTAGCTGATGTACAAAACATCAAGTCCCACTGTGCATCCCAAAGAATTTATATATAGTCTGAAAGAGAATGCTGTAACCCCACCACATGAGTGCTGCCCAGAGCATGCTCATGTGCAGCCACAGTGTTTATCTCCTGCCAGGCTGATCCTGTGTGTTTGCAGGCAGATGATGGCCCTGGAGCTCAGCCCAAAATAGATGGGCTTGGGGGGGTGCAGGATAGGAACTGTCTCTGAGCTGCTCTATTAAAACTCCTTCAGCTCAACAAGTGCATGTCAGGAGGTCCCCTCTCTCTGCCATGTGCCATTGAGGATGGCAGCAAAGGCTTCATACCTGCCCTTTCCTGCTCTGATTTTATCCTAGTGCTCTAGAGACTGCCTCTTCCTATATCCACGTGGGACCATTGTTGTGCTGACACACAAGATGTTCTTCCCAGAAACTGATCTGTGTTCCTTGCAAGCATTTTCCCTCATGCTGCCACCATCTACGACACTCTCCTGAGTTTTATGGCATTTAAATGTTCCATGATACTGCTGGAACAACTCTGGCACAGCCATGGAAATTCTGTCTTCTTCTTCTATTCTTCTTCTTCTATTCTGTCTTCAGGAAAAATAGAAATATCTTCTTTATGCCACAACTGAAGTTACACTTGGGCAGTAATGGAGAAAGGGACCAAGCCAGCAGGTTTCGTCTGTGTAGATGCAATCCAGTTGTGTAAGTCACCAACATCTCCTAACTGGGGAGCAGCAGTTACAAAAGCAGGGTAGTCTGGAGTGATTTTCTTTCCTTGCCACATAGCCCAAAATGAAAGATAAGGGAAATTCTTTTGGTTTTGTTACATCAGCACATTTGATGTTGCTGGCTTTTTTTTTTTTTTTTTTTTTTTTTTTTTTTTTAAGGCTAGTTTTCTTTAGGAGATATTGAGCTGTCTGGATAAAGCTTAAATTGTGTTCTATAATTATATATGCCTTTGTCTGATTCAAGGCATGGGCCAGACAAGGTATCTGGTGGTATTTTGGGTGGAATCTAGGTGATATCTGGCTCAGCACAAAAGTGTCTAAGTTCTGTACCACTGAGTTGACTGCATTAAGTGACAAAAAATTATGATTCTGACTGAAGTGTCTCACCTATCTCTGATCTGTAAGACTGCTTAGTTAGGAATAAGGATGTATTGAGTCCTCAGCAGTGGTATTCTGGTTAGTGGTGACTGAACAGGACCCTTCTGTCCTCCCCTTCTGTCCTCATAATATGTCATAGGGTAAGAATTCATTGCATGTTTTCAAGCATTTCTTTTCCTTGGACCCTTCTGTCCTCATAATATGTCATAGGGTAAGAATGCATGTTTTCAAGCATTTCCTTTCCTCCTAAAACCCATATATACAGGAGAGAATTGCATTGCTGGAAAAAGCTCATCCATTTCTTGCTTCACAAGTCAACTGTGCTCCACCACTTTGCAGGAAAAAGGGAGAGCTGTCAGGGTGGAGAGGAACACAGCCTGTCTT